CACCACCACCACCACCATCATCACCACCATCACCACCACCACCACTACCTACACCACCACTACCACCACCACCACCATCACCACCACTAATAAGCCTGCAACCAGCAACTCCCTAAATGCACTCCCAGTGCGGCCCTGCAGTTGCTGTTGTACACTTGAGTCGTGCATCACTTGAGTCGGTGACATGCAGCTACATTGCAGTGAAACTGGCGAATTAGTGTCAGGAACCCCGTCATACACTAGTTATCCTGGTCTGGCCCGCCAACTGCGTCCGAGGACTGTCATGGACCTAGTATGAGCCCATCGGCAATAGAGGAGATTCCTAAAAACCTTAATTAAAACAACACAGACGAGAACTCACTAAAGCACCTGGCCCTACCTCCACTCATACCTAGGCTTCATACGATTACATTCCATACCTCCCGCGCATGCTATGCCCTCGCACAATTTAGACCCTATCACGCCTCTAGCGTGCATGCTATTCACTTTATCTTCGCTTTTATGACATGTGAAACTCTGCATGCATGGATATACACACGTTACCTGCATAGGAAGCATTTCGGTCGCATGTGACGCTCGTAATTTGTCCGTCTAAATTTGCCAACCCCTGCCCACAATCACAGTCTTAACCTGCCTGATTTGGACGCGTAACTGGTGGACAGTAGAGAGCAGTGGTCGCCACCGAAGGATCATTCCTCATGGCATATTTGCGTATGTATGCTGTGCCAAAACAAATCCCAGTTGACGGAATTAATGGTTTGGAATGTAGCCAATTGACAGGAGGAATAGCTTCTACTCAATCTGATTTTCAGTCTTCAGTGGGTTTTTATTGTTGCGAGTCTTAGAGTTCTCTTCTCTGTGTGATTCCGAGACCGCCTTTTAAATGCAGTCTCGCACATGAAGTAGAACTCAGGTGATACGCGACACCTGTAGATGGGTTCCTTGGCCCTGGTAGCAGTTGCGTCGGAGCCAACAGCCGGCCAACTCAACTTTGTCCTTCCGTTGGAGTGCAGACGAAGAGCATGAGTTAAGTACAACGCAAGCCTGTTACATCACCAGTAAATTCAGGTACAAGTCACAGCTGCTTGGTCAACATTGAGACGCTGTCACTTTTGACGGTTGATATGCTCCGTTTTATCGAATACGGTTTGGCGACTCAAACGGCCACATAAATCGACGCGACCTAAATGTGAACTGACTACTGTACCAAAAAGGCTGTTTGGGCTCCAAAAAGTCATTTCGGACATTGCCCTCATTGTCAGCTAAACTTGAAGATGGAACGGTATTGCTGATAGAGGCGAACAGGTGAGTCCTAGGAAGCAGTTCAGAAGTGTATGTTAGGTGGAAGTAAACACGCCAATCGTTAGAGGCTCTGACTACGTAGAAGACATTTCACAGTTTTGGACCGTTGTTGACCGAAAGTATTAGGCCTCCATCAGAGCAATTTTAGAGTGTTAAAGAAATAAGTTTAACCGATCTATGAGGTCAATATTTATTATGCATTGTCTGACGATCTGAGTACGCTTTGGCCACTCTGGACGTCTCAGGACGCACACAGCCTCACCATGGGTAATCCGCATCTTGTGCCAAAATAATCTTCCCCTCTTGTTTTCTACTGTTTATGGCCTTCCACATGACCGGATAATGTTTGATGCTCCAACCGCATTTATTGTTTAACATGGAGGCACGAGAGTTATGGAGTTAATATCTATTACATATTAATTAAATGAAGTAGTTTAAACAAAGGATTAGAATTGAAATGTTGAGATTTCTTCCCCCTGTTGAGGCTTTACTTAACCGAACTGTTGATTTACTTTGACAAGAAAAAAATTAATTAATTGCTTGATTGTCAAGCAGTTTTTCATGGCAGTATTTTTACGTTTATGATAAGTGGGATACCACTTTCCTTATTTTGTAAATATCTGCGGCTACTTGATACTGATTCCTTGGAACTTTGACGCATCAAAATTTAGGTGGCATGTCTTTCAGTACCCTCTGTGATCTGTTTATTCTTAAGCTTTGCGTTTCTTCTAGTGCGGCCTTTACTTATTTGTGCGGATCCCCAGGTTATTTCACCTCAAATTACGCGGAGCGCTACTCAATGTACGCACAGGACTGAAAGTGAAATCCAAGATTGTCTATCTTTAAATAGCGTCTCAAATCAATTATTGAAAATGTGAGAGAAATCATGAAGGCATGGAACTTATTTGATGCTGCATATGCTAGCATTGAGTTAATTCTGCAAATAATGTTCGAAATTGGAGAAAGAGAGTGCGCCTAGACTAAGGAAGTCATAACTTGACTGTTGACACTGTTGGTATCTAGCTAGACAAGCCCAAAACGCAAACGGAGGCCTATAACTGAGTTGAAAAAATTCGACCTGGAGACACTAGGTTACATTGTCATTTTTATTTCCTAAAAATCTGGCAATATATATTCAACAGTTAACACTGCTGCCAGGCTAGGATATGATTGAACTGTCGTGACTCCACGTACAATATTCAAATAATCTACTAACTTTCTTCCACAACTGTAACAATTTAATCTGGAGACGTTTACACATTCCCGCTGTACGATAGGTTTTCGTTCACTCCGCCATATATGAAAAGCAATTTCAGTAGATTTATGACATGCACCATACTAGCTATTGACAACCGCGTAGACTATCTCAGGGACTTCG